GTAGAGTACCTGCTTTGCAAGCATGAAGCCCTGCGTTCAAACCCCAGTGCAACCAAAAAAATTTTTTTTGCTCTAGACTGGGGGCATGGCTCAAATGGTAGAGTCCCTGAGTTCAAACTGCAAGGAAAAAAAATTGCTGTGGTTATTCTAGGTCCTTTGCATTTGTGTATAAATATTAATATCAGCTTGCCAATTTCTACTAAAAAGCTTGCTACAGTTTCTAGTTGCACTGAATGTACATATCCATTGAAAGAAAATTACTGTCCTAACAATTTTGAACCTTACAATTTATGATCTTAATATCTGACCATTATTTAAGTCTTCAGTTTTTTTGTTAACAAAATGTTTTAGTTTTCAGTGTAAAGACCATGTATGTCTTTTGTTTCTGTTGGATGATTTTTTTTTTAAGACAGGGCCTCTCTATGTGACCCAGGCTGACCTTAAACTCTTGATCCTCCTGCCTCAATGTCCTCAGTGCTAAGATTACAGGTGTGTACCACCATGCCCAGCTCCTTTTTATTAAATTTTTACCTAGGAATTTTAATTTTTTTTTTTTTTTGGTGCCAATGTAAATGGATTATGGGATCATGGCGTTTTTGGGGGGTGTAATACTGACGTTTGAACTTAGGCAGGTGCTCTACCACGTGGCCACATCCCAGCCCCTTTTCCTTTAGTTACTTTTCAAATAAGGTCTCGTGATTTCTCCTGGGCTGGCCTGGACTGCTATCCTCCTATTTATGCCTCCTGCACACATAGCTGGGATGTGCATATGTGAGGGCTGGGAGTGTAGTTCAAGTAGTAGTGTGCCTGCCTAGCAAGTACAAGGCCCTGAGTTCAAACCCCAGTACTGCCCCCTCCCCACAAAAGTGACTACAAATCTTGCATATGTGATTATTTTTTAACAATAGTGCTCCTCTACACATTAGTCTTCAAATTACAATTATGCATACAGCAAGTGTATATCAAATAGGAACAAAACTTCTTAAGCCAAGATGTCATTGCCATAGTTTATCCATGTAGCATGTACATGAAAAGGAGAAGGGTTTGGAGGAGCCGATGCACTTACTTCATCTGCTGTTACTGCTTTTGCCTGGGGTTCTCTAGGAGCTAAGGAAAACCTAGGTGTGGAAGGCATTTGAAGGGCCTGTGGTCAGAAGGGAGGCGTGTGGAAGTATTGGAACTTCATCCTTATACCAGCATTTGGCTGTTGCATTGTGAGCCTGGAAGGCATACCTACACTCACACCTCAAAGTGGTTTCTTTATATTAGAGACAATCCATACTAATCACCAGCTGAGGCCAATAACAATAAATGAGCAAGGCTGAAGAGACAGAAAGTTATATTACAGGATCTTGCACTGGATGGAGTCGCAGTCCCTTCAGTTGTCACTTAACAGATGTGAGGTGGAGGGGAAGTAGAGATGGATGTTAGAAAGGCCAAGAGATAAACTCAGTACAATGCTGGTCACAGTGATGACGGCTCTGGGGGAAGAGATTCATGGGATGGGGTTATTTTCTAAATTCTAGCGAAGTTAGTAAATGGCAAATACTCTTAGTTCCTTTGCCAGGGATGAAAATTATACTGTGAACCATATGAGTTATACTTTTGTTTAGTTGCGACCCTCTCAAAATAGCTCTGAAATATTTAAGTAAAGTATAAAATTATATCTATATTTAAATGAGAATGGTTTACTCTTTGTGCTTTTGTTATAGCTTAGTTTTGAGCTTCATAATATAAATTGAAAGGTACCTGATCTTTCTCTGTGGAATGGTTTTGGTAGTAAGTACTAATTATTTTTTGAGGTCATTCAAACTCACTTCTGAAGTAATTTTTCCTTGATGTCTTTTAAATTTTATGCCTGTATTTCTAATTATGTTTGTGGTCTCCTAATGTTCTGTATCTTTTTAAAAGTTTGGAAATTTATAGGGAGGTAAGATGCATTCATTTCCTTTCTATTTATTGTATAGAATTATGTATAACATTTTCTTAAGCAGAAATTTTAAAGAAAATATTAGCAAGTCAAACCTAGCTGCCTAGTGAAAGAATAGCATGCATATCTGAACTGAAAAAAGGCTAGGATAATTTAATACTAGTTTATCACTATAATTCAGAATGTTAGCATTGGGGTGCAGCTCAATGGTTGAGTGCTTGCCTGGCATGCAGGAGACACTGGATTCAATCAGCACCACAAAGAAAAAAACAACTCCCCTAATCAGAATGTTAATTAAAGGAAAAATATATGATTATTTCATCAGTTGCTGAGAAAAAAAAGCTGCTGAAAATATATTTAGCAACCATTCCTTAATAAAAATGTTAGGTAAAATAGGAATAGAAGGAAACTACCTAATATGATAAAGACTATTTACCAAAACAGAGCAACCAATAAACCTATTAAAATACAAAGTACTGAAACTATTAGCCTAAAAATCAGAGGCCAATACAAGAATTACTTCTGTCACAGCTGTTTGTATGACTGGGTTTTGTACTGGTTTGGTATCCCTAATATAAGGCTAAATTCCTTATTTCCAAAAGATATAGATCTAGAAAACCTGAAATTCATTTGCAGGTTGATTGGCACCAGTAAGAAGGTGTGTGAGGGGCTGGCAGAGTAGCTGAACTGGTAGACCACCTACCTGGCCAAGCATGAGGCCTTGAGTTCAAACCCCAGTACTACCAAGAAGGTGTGGTGAAGAGCAGAGTGGCTAGGCACTAAGCAATCAATAACTTTTTTATATTTTGCAATAAACAAAGAACAGAAATAAAGCCAAATGAAGAGAATGTATTATCTTATGTGTATTAAATGTTTGTTTTAAAAATTCAGAGATGGCCATTTTTGGAAAATTCAATAAAAAGGTGTATGATATGTCAATTTCAAAAGAATTTTGTGGGCAGTTAGAGAACTAAAAGGCTTTGGAAAATGATTGAGATTGTCTATATAATACACAGAGTGGGAGACAGTGGAGGAAGGGATCAGCAGCTGTGGTTTCTAAAGGGAAATGGTCTGATGTTTGGCCACTTCAAAACTGGATTCCCACGCCTCTGCTGTATATGTCAGCTTGGCCACTATGTTTTCCATTCTCCTCAAGACTGCCTTAATCATTAAGGGTCTGTAACAGATGGTAACTCAGAAAGAAAAGGGTAACAGTAGAGGAAACAATGACGAAAGAGTTTTTAACAGTTTCTTGCAAACCCTAAAGAGATGGAGGAGTGATGATTGCATTCACAGAGGAAGGTACAACCTCAGCTGCTACAGAGGTCAGCAAAGATGAGCTACAACCTGCTTTTCCCAGGGATGTCTACAGGGGCTTCTGTGTACTTGGAGACTGTTCCCAAAGGCAGCAGCTCAAGCGAGTTCTCTCAGTGCATCCTTTCCCACTGAGAGACCACTGCAGGCTCCTTTTTCTTCTGAGGAGGTGGAAGGGTACTGGAGTAGAGAAAGCTCCAGGGTGGATAGGTGAAGGAAGAGAGGCGGCTGAAAATTGGGATCGTCGGCAAGTCGGCAGGCACACTGATGTGTGGGATCCTTGCCTTCTCCCTCCCAGACCAACATCTAGATGATATACCCTGATCACCCCACTCAACACCTCTTTCTGGGTAAAGTGAGCTGCTCCAGTGAATACTGACACTGACAAGTCCCCCAGTGAAAAGGCATCTCAGTATACCTTATTGTTATATGGGAAGCCATCAGTCAACATACCTCCCACCTTCCACCCCTGCCTCCCACTTCCAAGCCATTTATCGCTCACTCTTAAAAGAAGCATCCAGGCATCACTAGGTTATGAGGAAAGCCTCAATTAGGGAAAAACACCCAAAGCAGTCAATCAGCCAACAGATGATGCAAGAAACAAAACTAAAATGAAAAACCTCAGAAATCCAAGTGTCCATTAAAAACTTTATAAAGCACACAATACTGTGAATAAAGAGTAGAGACCAATAAGAGCTTTGGAAGTTTAAAAATATGATAGTTGGAAAAAAATTCCATTGATAGATTGGAAGTTGAAATTGAGGTGTATGAGAGCAAGAGATTGTCGTTTTTTTTTTTTAAGATTTTTTTTTTCTGTTTTGGGGATGGGAGGCAAATTTCTTCCTTCTTCCCTCCTTCCCTCCCTTCCTTCCCTCCCTCCCTCCCTCCCTCCCTCCTTCTTTTTTGGTGTGGAGATTGAACCCAGGGCCTCACACTTGCTAGGCAACAGCTCTACCCCTGAATTACATCCCAGCCTGAGACTGTCATTTTTTTTTTAAACCTAAATTTATCTAAAAATAACGTGCATATTCAGTGCCTTTTAAAAAACTGTATGCATTTACTGTAATAAAATTATGCCTGATAGGAATTTCTGGAGCATTAGGTTTGTGTTTGGTGTTCCGGTCAAACATTATTATGAAATGAATTATTTGCCCAGTTCTCATAATCTCTAAGGAACAGTTCAGACAGTGTTTTTCATGGGTGGAGCACAGACTGGAGTTAGCTGCCCCTGCTCTAATCATTTCCTCCTCTGATTCTCTTTTTCCTCACCTGTACTATGGAATGGTAATAGTAGTGCCTATTTCAGAGGGCTGTGATGATGAAGCAGAGACAAGACCTGTCAATCACTGTAGTACAATGTGCAGCTTAATACCAAATCCTCAATAAAAAGAAGCTGTGAAAACAGCTAAGCACACAGACTGGTGGTATAATACACAGTTAAGAAAAAAGCATGCTCAGAAAGTAACATGCAACACTGGTGAAATAACAGGCTGTCTGAGCTTTTGGTGTAACTTACCAGACTGGAAGCTTCTTGTTCCCTGTCCTTTATCAGCACTCCTCAATGTCCATCATTGTGTCTGGCACTGAGAATCTATGCAGAGAATGAATAAATAACCCCTTCATTATGACTGTCATCTGTAGAGCTATACTTTAACTTTAGTGTTCCTGTCTGATAATTAAAGATTACATGTTAGTGTGTTTTTAAGTATACAGGCATAAAGTTTTCTTAAACTTAAATGTTGCATTTTGATTACAGGCGTCGATTAGCAAGGTACAAGTAACAGAACCATGGCTCAGTTTCCCACGCCTTTTGGTGGTAAGTTTTCAGAAATTTCTCTTTTTTAATGTATGTTGGGGCCAGATTTTAAACCTTACCTAATGGAAAATTTCAGATAATAAAGTAGGATGAATAGGGCTGGGGGATAACTCTGGAGTAGAGTGCTTGCCTAGCATGTGCAAAGACCTGGGTTCAATCTTTAGTACTATCAAAAAATAAAAAAGAGAGAGCTATATAATCAACCCCTAGCCCTCATGTGGTTTCCTGGTCAGTGATGTTTCATCTAAATTATTTTGAAGTAACTCCCAAGTCTTCTTTCATTTCATCTGTAAATATTTCAGAATGTTTGTCTAAAAGGAACATTTTTAAAGACATACGTATGATACTGTGATCAAACCTGTCGAAATTTAGGTATGTTGTCACATCTATCACATCTCTCACTCTACACATCTTTACTTTCTTCTATAATCTTTAGACATTCTTTGCTTTTCTTTTTCCACTTTTTGTTCAACTCAGGATCCCATTTGAGCTCGAGGTGTGGTTCAAGTGGTAGAGAACCTGCTTTGCACAAAGCCCTGAGTTCAAACCCAGTACTAAAACCAAACCAAAACAAAAAACCCAAAAACTCAGGATCCAAATAAAGTGTACACATTGCATGTACTTCATATGTCTCCTGAGTCTCTTTAGTTCATAAGCCCTTCTCTTCCCCTGCCCCTTTGTATGTGTGTGTGTGTAATTGTTGAAGTGACTGGATCATTTATTCTGTACTTTTTTGAAGCCTGACATTTTTGTTCTACTTTAGTTTATCTGCTTGAAACTTATCAATCTACATAAAAACATAAAATGTGTTTTTCAGGTATTTTTCCCCTGACATTAGTGTCTTTTTAGCAAAAGAAAGTGATTCATGTTAGCAGAATTGTGGTGAAGAGAGTGAAGAGGCAGAAAACACCATGTTCTACTCACACCTGGAAGAGTGTGGGATTCCAGGACAGACAGCTGTAGGTTTTTTAATGTCTTTATTCTCTGAACTCAGGGCTTCAAGCTTGCAAAGCAGCACTCTTACCACTTGAGCCACACTTCCAGTCCATTTTGCTCTGGTTATTCTGGAGATGGAGGTCTCACAAACTATTTGCCCCACTGGCCTTAAACCCAATCCTCCCAACCTCAGCTCCCAAGTAGCTAAGATTACAGGTGTGAGCCACTGGTGGCCAGCCTAACTTCTTTTTTCATAACTTTTACATGTGACATTTAAGGCATCTGAGAATTCGGTGTTAAGTTTAAGTTAACCCCACTGGCCTTAAACCCCAATCCTCCCAACCTTAGCTCCCAAAGTAGCATAAGATTACAGGTGTGAGCCACTGGTGGCCAGCCTAACTTCTTTTTTCATAACTTTTACATGTGACATTTAAGGCATCTGAGAATTCGGTGTTAAGTTTAAGTTAACTCAGTCTGTTGCTTAGGCTTATGTAAATAAATGATTAATTTAATATGTCTTCATATGATCCTAATAGTAGGATTACAGGACAAATTTCTAAAAAGGAATTTGTGCCAGATTTTTTGTACTGCTTTTCTCACCTTATATGCAAAGACAAACTTGTTAATATATCACAACATTTACAGCCCCTCCACAGAGGAAATCTCGAGTAACTTGCTTGTCTTTTTGTTGGACTGCAGGCAGCCTGGATATCTGGGCCATAACTGTAGAGGAAAGAGCGAAGCACGACCAGCAGTTCCACAGTTTAAAGCCAATATCTGGATTTATCACGGGTAATTGCAGTCACTATTTTCATCTTCTTATTTAGCGTGTCTGTGCAGCAGTATATTCCACAAGGTAGAGGTGGGCATCGATGATTAAGGAGACATTTTTCCCTTTTTTTAACCTTGAGTCTGTATTTTTACAATTGCTATTCTTATAACACATTTGAAGGAACCCTTCTGCTATCCTTTGTCAATGTCAAGCCAATTGTTGGGGCATATGGTGGAGGGAATTAGTTAAGATCAAAGCAGTCTTTAAGATGGGGTCAGATCTTGACCCTAGCTGAAATGCTTGCTTGGTTTGGGTTCTGAACTGGTTTGGGAAACTGCTACTAGATTCTGAACTTTTTTTTTTCTTAAAAAAAGTTCCCTTTTGTTCTTTGCCTTTTCTGTTATCTTTCCTGTTGGATTACTCTTCAGGAATTTGCTTTAGGAAAAGTGGGATCAGGATTTCCTGGGGAAATGTTTTTGTATCACAGTTTCTTTTAATTTATTAATTTTTCATCCTTGATATGATTCTTTTAGTCATTTGTTACCTGTTCTCTGTAAATATGTCAGCAGTACCCAAAGTTGGAATATAGGTATTGGGAACGGCAGAGAAAAAAAAAGATTAAGTCAGGGTTTCACTGTGTAACCCAGGCTGGCCTCATGCTTGGAACCCTCCTCTGTTGGCCTCCCTAGTGCTAGGGTTTTAGGCACACAGCTAAGGATTTTTTTTTTTTAAATAAGGTATAAAAAATGTAGCCGTGCTGTTGTTTTGTAAGGACTCCTACAGATGTACTTTGTTGTTGTGTTACTTGGTTTTCTGTCAATATAGCAAAATAACTGAGATAATCAACTTTAAAGGGAGAAGCTTATTTGGGCTCAGTTTTGGAGGTTTCAGCTCAGGATTCATTGGCCTTGTTGCTTTGGGTCCAGTGACCTAACACCACCCACGAAGCCCCATCCTCTGAAGATTTAGCCACCTCCTTATAGCTCCACGCTGGACTTGGGGGACATTTCAGATCCACACTGTAGCACCATGATGAAGAGCCACATCTTATCCAAATAGCAGATTAAAGTGGACAGTCTGACCTTTCTGAAATGATATTTTTAAATTACGTTCTGAGGCTGGTGCTGATGAGTTCATTTTTTTATTGCTTAGAGATTCACCATTTGACTTTTATCAGTTCAGTATTTAGTCAATTCAGTATTTTTAGTACCACCAGTCTCTTTCTTACTTTTGTAATTTTGCTATAAGGGATTTCTTGTCAGCTGTTGTTTTCTTTCTGAAACTTTTTCCACTTAATTTATAGGTGATCAAGCAAGGAACTTTTTTTTTCAATCCGGGTTACCTCAACCTGTCTTAGCACAGATATGGTAAGTTGGAATTTTACATAAGCAAAATGTAAACTAAACATTGTCTAGTTCTGTTTATTTGACAATATGATTTCTTATGCTGTATAGAAGAATGTGTATCTCTAGCTTAGAATACTTTATTACTTTTTATAGAGAAATACTTCTGAAAAGTGCCTTTCTGATATAGAACTTAAAAAGGGAGGTGACTTGAATGGCAATGCTCTGTCAAAAACTTGAACTTCCAGTGAAACTTGCCAATGGAAACATCTGCATTTTGATATTTTCTCACCTATTTGTTTGGGCTTCATCTGTCTCACTTATACTCATTAGAATATCCTACATTTCTTCCTTTATAATGGAATTTTTCTTTCTCTTCCATTAATTAAAGAATAAAAGGTAATGAAAGTACGTGAGCACTATTACAAGTCACAAATAACCAGTGTTTTATTTTATTGCACTATGGCACATGATGAATGCATAATAGGTTTTTTGTTTTTTTGTTTTTTTTTTCTTAATTTTTGTGGTACTGGGAATTAAACCCAAGGCCTCCCACATGCTAGGCAAGTTAAGTGCTGTGCTACTTGAGTCATGTCCCCAGCCCTTTTGTTTGTATTTTGTTTTTGAGATAGGGAACAACTAATTTCACTAAAGCTAGCCTTGAACTCATGATCCTACTGTTTCTGCCTCCTGAGTGGTTGGGATTAGAGGCATAAACCACTACACTGAGTTTAATAGGTGCTGTTGAATTTTTGGTTGACTATCACAAATAGGTGGTCTTTTGAAGCCATGGGAAAGAGAAAAAATAAAAAACGGTTTTGGGTTCAGAGCTTTTGAGAGTCATGCTGAATGCTGTTGTCATGTAAGAAGCAGCATTTTCCCCCCATGTGTGTTTCTTACAGTCAATACGTCAGTTCCCTGAGTTCATTGGTGTTATGCAGACAGCTGGCTATAAGGAAAGAGCACATGATTTGTAGCCATACACCTGAGTTCCAATCCCAGCGATACCTCTTTCTGTCTCTATGACCTGGGACAATATATTTGCTGTCCTTGGTCTCAGTGTTCTAACCTAGAAAATGGGGATGCTGGTATTTTTGCTACAAACTTGTTGAGAAGATTAGCAGAAAAACTATATGTAAAGGATTTAGTAGGGGCCTGGACCTCAAAACAAAACCCCAGATAGGGAGCTGTTAGCATCAGAGACTGGATAGCCCACATAACTAAATTTTCCAACTAGTTACTTGTCTCCTTAAATGACCAACCTTCTTATTTGCAAATTTATGGAAATTAATAGATTGATATAACACTTGGTTGCTTTCAAACTGAGGCTTCAGAACTCAGCCTAAACTTTTTGATTAAGTGTCATCATTATGAAGATCATGCACTGAAGCATCTTTCATGGGAGATATGTATGTGTGTTCTCCTTTGTGTTTGGATATATTCACATTTAAAGTATATGACACCAGATTTCCATGCTGTTTTTGAATGTCTGCTGTCTTTTCTATTTCCTAATTTTCAGTCTCTTCCACTAGTGAGCTTGTTCCTATGAAGCCATTCTAGTTTTAACTCTTGATCTCCTTGAGCTAGAGACGTAAAGGTCTAAGAGAGAGAAGAACACACAAGCTGGAAGTCATGCTGTGTAGGCACAGGAGCTCTGTCCTGCCAGTTACATGACTAAATTTAGGTGCAGAGACTTCTGTGGCACTTGTTTTAATTGTAACATGCTTCTTTTGCTTTGAATTCTAGTACACAATCCTGTTTCCCATTACCAAGGCCTTTTGCTAGACTTGCTTTCCCAGGCCTAACTCCTGCTCTGCTGAATTGTGCTGATCTGTTGTATTCCCAATTTTTGAAGTATCTCATGGGTGTGGTAGTGTACACCCGTAATCCCAGCACTTGGGAAGCCAGGCTGGGCTACATAGTAAGAACTTGTCTCAAAAACAAAAAGAAAAAAAGAAGTATTTTATGATGAATAATCTGTAAGTAAACCTCAGTCCACATGTACTCATTCAACACTGAAAATGTTTATCAAATGTCTTACTATAAGCCAATGACTGTTGTAGGTGCTGGAGATATAGCAGTGAATGAAATAGATAAGTTCTGTCCTTTCATCAAAATTACAGTCTAGTGTAAGGAGGTAGTCAATGTAAAAATTGTCACATGGTAATCTGTTTTAGGGAAAAAGGTAAAGTATTGACTAAGAAATCTCTGTTTCATCAATTGAGATAGTTGTTAGTCTTCCAAACTATTTTTAGCTGAGTGGCCCAAAGTCAATTTTATTTTTAGCTACATGGCTGAAGTCCCCCTAGCCTCATTAAGCCCAGGGCCTTAGAAATAGGCAAACCCTGGTGTATCATCTAACTATATTCCCTGCCTTCAAAGTCATTTTTGCTACTTTATTATTTTTATAGTGACATTTTTTATTAACCTTAAATGTGATTTGATAGTCGTAGGTTGGCTTAAAAATGTCTTCTATGTCTTTAACTTTTTCCTGGCATTCTGCTAAATTTTATGATGACATATCTTACTTTTATCAATAATTGCTATTAGAAAAAAATGAAACCCAAAAATCAAAAAACACCTCTACCTGTCTTTTCCCAAAAGAAATATATTTGCATAGTAATTTGAAATTTTATGAACCTAAAATGATGGAATAACATAGCACAAAGCATGAGCAAACTGTCTTCCAACCCTGACCCCTTACCCCCTACTCACTTAGTAACTCTTGACCTCTTCAAACCTAGGTTTGAGAATTGTAATAACAGCTGTTCTAATGAAATGTTTCCCTGTTCCTCTCTTATACTAATCTCATGGTCTTATGTGGTTTTCCTGAGAGGGTCCCAGGGTTGACCTCTCGCCTCTTGGTAGAGAGAGGAATATGTCAGTCATCTGGAAAGGAACGAGAATTTTGCATTGAGAATTGAGAACTGTTTCTAGTCTATCTGTTCTTATGTTCTTGACTGTGGACTTCCTTTCAAATACATGAGGGATGTAGACTGATGAACAAAATATGTTAGAAACCTTTATAATGTTTTTGTTTCCACATAGAAAATACAGTCTAGTTAACCAGTCTCTAAACTCTTGAACTATATGTAATCTATTCATGTTTTGAATCTAATCTGATTCTAAATGAAGAATATAAGGAAACCTGAATTCTCAGAAGATGGAGTTAGGTTAATGTGTGTGTAAATGCCAAATTATAATGGTGGCCAAAGATGATACATCTTCCTAGAAATTATCTTACTAATAGGGAACTGGAAGGAAACTGGCAAATATCCTTTTGGCAAATGAATGCTTAAAATTTTTTCAGCGTTGCTCTGGTTTGGAGGGAGAGTATGCAGGGGACAGACAAGAACCAGAAGGTACAGAAAAGAAAGAGAGGGGCAAAGAGTGTTAGATGAGGGCTTTGGAATCTAAGATGGTAGGACCCAGAGAAATGAAGAGAAATGAGGGGATCATCATTGTTACCTGGAAATGAGCCCAAAAAGAAAAGAAGAATCCGGAGGCCTAAGGGCACAGGATTGGACAAGTTGGTGATCTGGTTCCAGGATGAGGGCGGGACAAGGCAAAGGCCATATGACTTGTACTGCCTTTTTGACACTTCTGAGTATGTGTCAAGGGCCTTCAGCACCTATCATGATCAATTTGCCAAATTCATTTACAAAAATAAAAGTCACCCTGGACTTCTGATTTCCCTCTCCTCGATCCCTTATTCCTATCTTTACCATCTCAGTTCATGGTACTGAGTCATCTAGTTGCCCTAAACCAGTAGCTGGATTGGTTTGAATCATGCCTGATCATCTCTCTCTGTCTCTCTTTTTTTTTTTTTCCACCCTGTACACCAATCCATTAATATGTACTTTGACTCCATTTATAGACTTTACAAGTCTGGCCAATTCTTGCTGTCTCAGCTGCTGTCATCTTGATCTGTCATCTCACCTGGGCCCAGTGTTCAAGCATCTAGACTAGATTCTCTTTCACACTTGTCCTTTGAGATTCCATTCTCCAAACAGCAGCCTTTTTTTTTTTTTTTTTTTTACTTTTAAAAAAGTAAATTCATTTGCTAGGGATGTAGCTCAGTACTACTAGAGTGCTTTGCGTGCTCAAGGCCCTGGGTTATACCCCCAGCTCCACAAGAAAACAAACAAACCTAAATAAAGAACAAACAAAAAAATTCATCTAAAACTCTCCATTGAGAATAAAATCCAAAGTAATTATGAAGGCTACATAAGTCCTAATGTGACCTGACTTTTTTTTTCCTCCTTTTTCTCTTATTTTTGTGTCACTCTCTTCCTCAACTTCTGCCATCCAGAAGTTGGCCTTTTTGGTTCTTCAAATGGGCCAGGTTTTTCCTTGCCCCAGGGCTCTGCACTTAGTGTTTCTTCTGCCTATAACAGTTCTAGATCCAGGTTTCATTCATCTGTCACCTTGCAGGCTATGTTTCTTGACTAACTGGTCTGCAGTGGTTCCCTATGCCCACTAACTCTTATCTTCTGGCTTCTCATTATCTCATTTCATTATCACAATAGCATTTAGCATCATGCAGAATAATCCAATTAGTTCTCCTTTAGAGTCTGCTTGCACCAAAATGTAAACTCTGGCAGGGCAGAAACCTTGTCTATCTTTTTTATAGTGAAAACCCAAATTCCTAGGCAGCCTAGCCCTTCATAGGTAATGCCCCCATGTAGTTTTTGGATGAATGGATGAATAACCAAGCTGGATTAATCTGCATTATAGTTCAGCCTTATCTTTAGCTTATTGGGTACCAAGTGGGAGATGAGTGGCCTGTGATCAGCCTGTGTAGAAGTGACACCCTAAAGAAATCTGCAGGCTTTTCCCTGCTACAGTAAATGAGATGGGGCCTCCTACCTTAATCCTATAATAGACACAGTAACTCCTTTTATTCTGAGGACATACAGAGTGCCATGTTGAACAGTTACTTTGATTAGCTTTGTTTCCTCTCCTTCTATGTGATACTTTATTTATTTAAATTACCATTAGGTAACCCTCCTGTCTTTGTGGAC